TGAGAGATGGTGAAAGTGGCTAAGGATGGGCTTGCTATGACTGCTGTTATGACCACTCCCCGTTCCCTTCTGTTGTTCATTTGTTTGGTGTCATCGAGCTGAGCATGACTTATAGAGACCCTATGAACAACAGCTCTAAACCCTGTCCTGTCCTGTGCCATCCTCACACTTCCTGATACACAAGAGCCCATTGCAGCAGTCACCATGTCAATCCACCTGGTTGAGGATCTTTCTTTCTTCGCCAACTCTCTATTTTCCACAGCATCATGTTCCTCTCGAAGGACAGCCTCTCTTAGCATCATGCCCAAATTAAGTGAAGGACAGTCTCATCATTCTTGCCTCCAAAGAGCACTACAGTTGCACCCTCTCCAAGACATATCTATTTGTTCTTTTGGCTGTCCATGGGATGACCAGTGCTCTTCTCCAATACCACAGCTCAAAGCCGTCAATTCTTCCTCTGTTATCCTTATTCATTGTCTAGGTCTCAGATGCATAGCAGATGTACCTTAGTCCTCAAACTTATATCATTACTCATCAATGATTTGGGGAGGTCCCTAACTGCAGATATTCCCAGTTCAATGCATGCATCTTCTTATTTCATGACTTTATTTCATTATTTCCAAGGGTTTTAATTGTAGTTCCAAGCATGATGTTGACAGTTTCAATCCTTCATGATGTTGCCTATCAGTCCAGTGGTAAGAATCTTTGTTTTCTTGACATTGAGCTGCAGTCCACACCAAAGGGTGTGTTCAGCATTGATCATCTTCAACAAGTGCTTCATGTTCTCCTCACTTCCAGCAAGCAAGGTGTGTCATCTGTATAACAAAGGTAATCGATGAGTTTCCCTCCAGTCTTGATGTCACACTCCTCTTCATAGAGTCCAGCTTCTTGAATACTTTTGCTCAGCATACATTGAACAGGTATGGAGAGAGAATATAACCTTTATGCACTCCCTCTTCAATTTTAAACCTTGCAATGTTCTCCTGCTCTGTTCCCACAACAGTCTCCTTGTCCGGGTATAGGTTTCACACCAGCACAATTAAGTGGTCTGGAATTCCCATTCTTCTCAATGTCAGCCGTAACTTGTTATGATCCACACAATAAAATGCCTTTGCATAGTTGATAAAGCTTAAATAGACATTCTTCTGGTATTCCTTACTTTTAGCCAGGAATCGTCTGACATCAGCAGTAATATCCCTGGTACCACAACCACTTCTAATTCAGATAGAATTGTTTTAAGATCATATACTGGTTCCTGTGGACTTATTTTCATTTTCTTTGGCTTCAGTTCGAACTTGCATATGAGTAATTGATGGATGATCTGATCCGCAGTTTACTCCTGGCCTATTTTTAACTGCTGATACTGAGCTTCTCCAATGACGTCTTCCACAAATATAGTCAATCTGATTCTTATGCAGCCCATGAGGTGAGGTCCATGTTGTAAAGTTGTTGTTTTTGTCTTTTAAAAAAGAAATTCTCAATGAATTGTAAATACAAAATTCAGTCATTCTACTTCCAGTCTCATTTCTATCACCGAACTCGCATTTTTCAACTACTATTCCTTCTTCTCTGCTGATGTGCTCTGCTGATGTACTGTTCCAGTCGTTTTTGGATAATCTTCAGTAGAATCTTGCTTGCATGTGAAATCAATGATATTGTTCTGTAGTTTCCACACTCAGTTGGGTCACCCTTCTTTGGGATGGGAACAAATATAGATCTCTTCCAGTCAGTTTGGCCAAGTGGTTGTTCTCCAGATTTCTTGGCACAACTTGGTGAGCACATCCAGGGCAGCATCTATTAGCTGAAATACTTCAATTGGTATATCTTCTATTCCTTGGGCCTTATTTTTTGCTATTTCCTTCAGAGCAGCTTGAACTTCTTCCTTCATCATCATAGGCTCTTGCGCAAATGTTATTTCATTAAATTCTTCTGTATCTGCCAATTCCTTTTGATACAATGACTCAGTATGTTCCTTCCATCTTCTTTTGATGCCTCCTGGATCATTCAACATTCTGCCTAAAGCATCCTTGATTATAGCAACTCGAGGTTTGAATTTGTTCTTCAGTTCCTTGAGCTTAAGAAATGCTGAACGAGTTCGGCCCTTTTGATTTTCTGACTCTAGCTCCTCGCACATTTAATTGTAATATTTTGCTTTGTCGCCATGGTCAACACTCTTGGCACCAGCAGCCAGGAAATAAAAAAAACCGTATTGAGATGGGAAAGGCTGCTGTTAGGGACCTCTCTAAAGTACTCAAGAGCAATGGTGTCTCTCTGGAGACTAAGGTCCGCCTGATACAGGCCATGGTTTTTGCAATCACTTGTTATGCATCAGAGAGTTGGACAGTGACCAAGGAGGATAGGAGAATTGACGCCTTTGAGCTGTGGTGCTGGAGAAGATATTGAATGTAACATGGACTGCCAAGAAAACAAACAGATTCATCCTAGAGAGGGTTAAGCCAGGCTACTCCTTGGAGGGAAGGATTCTGGGGCTTCGTCTGACATACTTTGGGCATGTTGTAAGGAGGGACAGGTCCTTGGAGAGGGACATCATGCTTGGTAGGGTAGAGGGACAGCGCAGGAAGGGAAGACACTCTATGAGATGGATTGATTCAGTGACTGGGGTAATCGGGATGGGTGTGTCAGAGGCAATACGATTGGCACAGGATAGAGCAGGGTTTAGGGCTGTTGTACATAGGGTCGCTATGAGTCGCAAACGACTCGACGGCAAATAACAACAACAAACATTCCTTCTTCACTGTTTCCCACTTTTGTATTCCAGTCATCTTAAGTGCACGTTCAGTCAATTTCGGGCTGCAAGATTTAGTAGCAATTGTGTATTTTTTCCTGTTTGGCTCCAAATACAGGAGTGTATATTTGAGTAATAGTCATGTTAACAGGTCTTCCTTGTGTGCGTATGAACATTATATGATCACTCACAACATTGTCTTTCAGCATAGAACTTGACTTTTTGACTATGAATGCAACCACCGTTCTTCATACGTTTTTCATTCCCAGCATAACGTACCATATGATTATCTGATTCAAAGTGGCCAAGGCTGGTCCATCATCTCAGTAATGTTCATGCGTTCTACTTCCTAAATTGCAGGCCTTTGAAAACCCTGAACACTAAAGAGGATACGTTATAGTAAAGTAGTGGTGGATCCAGATTGGAAGCCAGCTGAAATGAGGAAAAACAGTAACAAACATTGCTCAGTAATTGGAACATGGAATGCACGTAGCCCGAATGCTGCATAACTGCGAAGTGTGAAAGCCGACATGGAACGCCCCCTACTGGCCCGCACCTAACAGCCTCCGCGCACAGACGTCACAGACCCCGCCCCGCCACCCCCGCCTTACGTCATCACGGCCGCTCACGTGAACGTGGCCCTGCGTCACGTGGCGGGCGTCACGTGAGCGGCGGCGGTCATGTGACCCCTGTCTTTGCTGGGCTGGAGGCTGTGCTTCTGCCTTTGGCTCCAGCAGTTGCGCCCGCCTCCTGTGCCCGGCTGGCCGGCTTAATGGAGGAAGAGGAGGATGAGTCGCGGGCTCTGCTGGCCGGAGGCCCCGCCGAGGCCGCGGGAGGCGCCGGCGCTGCTCCCGGGACCGCCGGGGTGCTAGCGGCTCTCTGCGACCCCAGCCGTCTGGCGCATCGGCTTTTGGTGCTATTGCTTATGTGCTTTCTTGGCTTTGGTGAGTCGTTTGATGGGGTGGGGAGGGGTTGATAATGAAGGGATTCCTAACTTTCTGTGGAGTCAGAGAGTTGGAGACCCGCAGGGAGCCCGTTGGTGCCACGGGGTGTCAGCACAGCTCCAGGCTTCGGCGCGGGGTCTCCACTCCCTTCGCAGCCCCTCGGAGCCCGTGGATGTGCAAATTAGTGATCTTCCCCGAAGGTGAGGCGTGGAGGCTAGAACGGAAAGGGATTTGTTCCTCGGGTTGACCCGCGGGACGACCGCTAAGCATCGCGCTGGTCTTTGGAAGGTTGCTGTCTGAGAAGGTTATGCAAAGAGGACTGAAGAAACTTTGTTTCTCCCTTATCCGCCTTCTCTTTGCCTCGTGCCTCAAACAAACAAATACCCCCAAACAAAAGCAACACTAGTCATATTTTTTAGTTATTTTGCTAACAAGGGTTATGTTCCTCATTCTACTTGTAAAAACAGTGTGCTTTGCAGATTGCTCCAGATACATTTTCTTACCCTTTCTGGCCATCTGTGAAGCAATGATGATTTGGGGCTTGTGGTTACCTTGTCGGTGGATTATTTTACTTAAGAAATTTGATGGCTCAGAGAGCAATTTCCTGAAATAATTTCTAAAACATGTTTCAACTTTTGAATAACTCATTTGTGCTACTGGCAGTAATGTTTGGTATGTTTTTCACAGAACCATGAAATAAGCAAGTTTAGGGATTTGGGGTGGTTAATTTTTAATGATACTGCTGGAATTTATGTATGTATGTATGTATGTATGTATGAATGAAGAACACTTTGGTTTCTTAACCCTTTTACTCCCTACAAACCCTACCTCCCTTTTTTAGAACATATCATGGAGGTCCTTTACATGCTATTTTGTTGCTGCGTTTAAAACGAACTACCGAAGGCTTAACACAAACCAATGAAAGTATTCTTAGAAACATGTTGTTACTCACTGTCCTTGAGTTGAAAGCATAGCCGACCCTCCAGTGGATTTTCAGAGGCTGAAAATCTCATTCGAGGAGATTGCCCATCATTCTCCTTAGAGCAAGGTGACTTCGAACTGGCTGCCTTACAGTTGACAGTGCAGTTTATTCCCAGTAAGCTGCAGGAGCACCCTGTCTTAATCATACAGATTGAGCTGGTTTTGGTAGTTTCTGGTTACCTGCCTGGTTTTTAGAGTTAGAGACTGACTTTTTGCTTTCCCTTTGAACCTCTTTCATCAGTGTCAAAACAGAATCAGCTGACGCTCCAACAAGTTTTCACAGTCAGTAAATCTCCAGGGAAGGGCATTATCTGTTTTTCTCTTTCAGAGTGGCTGGTGGATTTGAATTGCCTGCCTTTGATTTAGCAGTACAATTCTGTCCACAGGACACTAGAGCTCCCTTTTGATCCAACAGCTTATAAAATATTCTGAAGAGAGTTTATGGAGAAATAAAGGGATATTACCCTATACGTTACCAGAGACTTTATCATTGATACCATTTTAAAAAGAAATTTTAATTTCTTTTAAAATTTAATTTCAAAATCTATCTCCACTTCTCATTCTAACCCTTCCTCACAGACTTTATGGTCCACTTGAATCTTTGTATTCTCAGCTTAACATACTTTCTTCTGTTAAATTCACTGAGCTACTTGGTCCTGGATTTTGGTATTTGCATGCAGAATTAGAACTGTTGATCCAAATTCATGTGTGCCAGAATAGCTAAACTCCATTCCTCTGCACTTAAGTAGGGAACTCAAGTAAAATTATTAGAAAACTATGGAAATAACATATAAGCAAGAGCCTATGGTGATGAAGGAAGACGTTTAGGCTGCTTTGAAGAAAATAGCAAAAAATAAGGCCCCAGGAATAGATGGTATACCAGTTGATATATTTCAGCTAACAGATGCTGCCCTGGATGTACTCACCAAGTTGTGCCAAGAAATCTGGAGAACAACCACTTGGCCAACTGACTG